GGAGAGAAACCTTATGAATGCTTTGAGTGTGGAAAGAGCTTTAGTGTTAGGAGCAACCTTTATGTTCATCAAAGGATCCACACAGGAGAAAAACCGCATAAATGCCTGGAGTGTGGAAAGAGCTTTAGTGTTAGGAGCAACCTTTATGTACATCAAAGGATCCACATAGGAGAAAAACTACATAAATGCCTGGAGTGTGGAAAGAGTTTCAGTCAGAGGAACAGCCTTTATAGACATCAAAGGATCCACACTGGAGAGAAACCATTTAAATGCCTGGAGTGTGCAAAGAGCTTTACTGTGGATGGACATCTTCGTAGACATCAAATGATTCACACAGGAGAAAAACCGTTTAAATGCTCACAGTGCGAAAAGAACTTCAGTCGGAGGGGCACCCTGTATAGACATCAAAAGATACACTCAGGTGAAAAACCTTATAAATGCCGGGAGTGTGGAAAAAGCTTTGATCGGGGGTTCAGGCTTTATGTTCATCAAAGGATCCACTCAGGAGAAAAACAGCATAAATGCCTGGAGTGTGGAAAGAGCTTCAGATATAGGAGCAACTTTTATGTACATCAAAGGATCCACACAGGAGAAAAATTGCATAAATGCCTGGAGTGTGGAAAGCGCTTCAGTCAGAGGGGCACCCTGTATAGACATCAAAAGATCCACTCAGGTGAAAAACCTTATAAATGCCTGGAGTGTGGAAAAAGCTTCAGTGGAAGGAACAGTCTTTATGTACATCAAAGGATCCACTCAGGAGAGAAACCATATAAATGCCTCCAGTGTGGAAAGAGCTTTACTGAAAGTGGAAGTCTCCGTAAACATCAGAGAATTCACACAGGAGAAACCCTATGAATGCCTGGAATGTGGGAGGAGCTTCAGCAGGGCAGGAATTCTGTGTAATCAAAGGATCCACAGAGGAGAAAATCCATATGTCTGGAGTTTGGAAGGTGTGAATACTTACCCTTCATTGCCATCTCATCCTTTGTGTGTCAACATGAGTGTGTAATGTATTCTCATCCGAAACACTCAAGAGTAAGTAAACTTATGGACAGCACCATTTTACTCTTCCCTTTATTGCTACTCTCTGTTTAATGATTCTGCTGTTCTGTGATGCCTAATAGTTGAATTTGAATAACTTTACACACTTTTCAAGGGGTACGTAAT